TGAGAAATAAATAAGTTAACACAGGTAAAGTACTGGCGCAGTGGCTAATATACATTGAGACATAAATGTCAACTATTAGTAATTTGTGCTCAGAACAAATCCCATAAAAATGATTCTCAATTTTCATCAAGGTATATATATTTTTAGAAGCTTTTCCATTTGAAATTGTTTTATTCTATATTCACCCCATCCCAGAAAACATGTATTACAAGGGAACCAAACTGTTCCTTCTTTCTCCATTAAGTCCAATGTAACATTAACTTTTTAAAATTTCAAGTGAAGTGGCTTACAGAATGCAAATTTAATAATCACATTTAGTTACTCTTATTCCTAAAAAGTACTCATGTTCCATGAATATCCTTTCCCAAATAAATTCATTTCCACTTCTTTTTAAAAATTTGAATACAGGGATGCCTGGGTGGCTCGGCGGTTGGGCGCCTGCCTTTTTATTTACCCATTCATGAGAGACACAGAGAGACCGGCAGAGACATAGAGAGAGAAGCAAGCTCCCTGTGGGGAGCCTGATGTGGGACTGGATCCTGGGATTCCGAGATCATGCCCTGAGCCAAAAGCAGATGCTCAACTGCTGAGCCACCCATACGTCCCTATGTGATAAACATTTACCTGTTATTTGTGAACCATTACATGGGTGCCATGAAACATACAAAAATAGGTAAAAAAAAAAAAAAAAAAAAAATTTCCAGGCCTCCTAAAGCCTGTGGCCTCACTCAATAGTGCTAAAAACTGCTCATTTACAAGTATGTATGTATGTGTGTACGTGTAAAAAGGGGTTAGTATAGGTTGTTTATGTTGAGGCAACCAACAACCCAAACATCTCTGTAACTTACAACAAACACTTTATATTTTATATAACCTGTAAGAATCAGCTTCTAGCTTTGCTCCATGTGATACCCATTTCAGGATCTAAGCTAAAAGAAACAAAAATCCCACCTAAAATGTCCATCTCATAGGCAGAAGGAAAAGGGACACGGCAAAACATGGGACAGCTCTTAAAGCTTCTGCTTGACATGGCATATTATTGCCAGTAATATTTCATTGGCCCAAAGAAATCGACTAGCTAATGAGGTAGAGATGTATAATCCTGTCACAGAGAACACAAGCAAATATTTTAAATAATATCATCTACCACAATATCTATCATGAAGATTAAAGAAAAAAAATATTCAGATATTGGAACCAATAATAAAAGTAGTGTTTATTTAGGCAAGGTTTACTATGTGCCACTATTACCATTCTAATATTTATTAGTATTAAAATATTTAATTCTCCTAAGAAGAATTCAACAAAGATGTCTACTACTGAAGAAAACAGACCAACTATGGATATTTCTTAATGAGGAAAATAAGCAAAACAACGAAACCTATTAGAAGGTATTTTCGGGGTGCCTGGGTGGCTCCGTTGGTTAAGCATCCAACTCTTGATCTCACTCAGGTCCTGATCTCAGGGTCATGAGTTCAAGCCACACCTTGGGCTCCATACAGGGTGTGGAGCCTACTTTAAAAAAAAAAAAAAAAAAAAAAGACATTTTAGAGATATTTCAAGCTCACTAAACCTGGCTTTGATATGTTTCAGAAACAACAAAAGTAGCTGCCCTTCAGAGAGGAATTTATCCAGCTTATCTGAAGTAGAAGCCAACACCTGGTTTTATTTTTATTTCTTTAAAGATTTTATTTATTTACTCATGAGAGACATAGAGAGAAAGAGAGAGGCAGAGACACAGGCAGAGGGAGAAGCAAGCTCCATGCAGGGAGCCCGACGTGGGACTCGATCCTGGGTCTCCAGGATCACACCCTGAGCTGAAGTCAGCGCTAAACTGCTGAGCCACCCGGGCTGCCCATGGTTTTAAATATCCTAAATGTTTCTCCAAATTGATCTGAGACAGTTTCCCAGCAAGGTGTAATATACACAGAATTCTGGTCAACCTTAGGATTGTCAACTTTACCACATCTTACTCACTGGAGGTTCCTGAAGACTCATGATTTCATACTGGCTTATCTAATGCTGGAAAAGGAAATAGGGCGACACAACACAGCCCCAGATAGAAGCACAAAATAAGCCTCACAAAAAAGATCCATCCATACACTTAGTTCCCACAACAGTCATTAATACCCTACGCAGACCCTAAGGAACTGTGCTTGAGGTAAACACGAGACTCAGTTCAAAATGAGAAGTGATAAAACAGGGCTAGATAAGTATCTGTAAATAGGTTAAAGAAAACAAAAACTACTGCATCAAGCATGGAGTCCAAAGTATCGCTATTTGAAACAGAGCACCAGTTTATCTAGCTTTTAGATTAAAATCCTAAATTGTTAGCCTTACCGTGAACAATTCCATAGAAAAGTCAGGGAAAGTAAGAATACATGTAGGCTATTTATCCAGGTTTCCCCCCCTTCTCATTCAATCCAGAGAAATGAGAAGCATGTGGAAACTGAGACACTCTAGAGCATGAGCTCAGTAACTAGAACAAGCGAATCATCTACACTATTTTTTTTAAGATTTTTATTTATTCATTCATGAGAGACACAGAGAGAGAGAGAGAGGCAGAGGCACAGGCAGAGGGAGAAGCAGGCCCCATGCAGAGAGCCCAACGTGGGACTCGATCCCGGGTCTCCAGGATCACACCCTGGGCTGAAGGCGGCGCTAAACCACTGAGCCACCCGGGTTGCCCCATCTACACTGTTAAAATAATTTTTAACCCTTATGTATGTTGGGTTTTTTTGTTTGCTCTTATTTTTTACTGATATACTATAGTTAATTTCATACAAGTTAATGTAACTGCTTCTTTCCTTCTACTGATAATTCTTTTCTTCAGTATTTTTTTTGTTCACTACTCCCCTTCTTACCAAATGCCTGATTCTATCTTCCTCATTTTACTCGAGTGATCTGAAATGTTACATTACTTGCAAATGTTTTATAAGCATTACAATAAAATGAATTTTAGATTTAGATTATCCCATTAATTGGTGCTTTCCTTTAAAAAAAAAATAATAATAAAGGTTGTATTTTATTTGACAGAGAAAGCACAAGCAAGAAGAGTGGCAGGGAGAGTGAGAAGCAGTTTCTCTGCTGATCAAGGAACCAGACACAGGGCTTGACGCGCAGCTGCATCCTAGCTAGGACCCTGGGATCATGACCTGAGCAGAAACCAGACGCCTAACCCACTGAGCCACCCAGACACCCAAAATGGCTCGCTTTCCACCCACAAACTTTTCAGATCATTACTTTCAAATCATAATGGAAAGAGAAAAATTAAGAATGAAAAGCTAGGGACGCCTGGGTGGCTCAGTGGTTGAGCGTCTGCCTTTGGCTGGGGCCATGATCCCAGGATCCTGCGACCGCATCCTTCATCAGGCTCCCCATGGGGAGCCTGCTTCTTCTCCCTCTGCCTATGTGTCTGCCTCTGTCTGTCTCTCATTATAAACTTTAAAATTTCCAAAATGCAGCACCTTAAGTTCAACTACAACAATAGCTGACAAAATGGCTGTGACCTAAGCTTAGATATACAGTCTTGTCTTCAATTAGCCACGCACCAGTGGATCCTTCCCATTTGTTTTGAGTTCTAGGGCTACTGTGAATACATTATTAGTTGGGAGTGCAAAATTAATCTCCATAACGTCTAGGAGAACAAGAACTAACCTGGATCACCTCTCTTAAGAGCCTGACTCAAACCAGCGGGGCATTTTACTTAGAGAAGCGCTTAGCCGTCTTCAAGTTCCCCACATGTAGAATGGTTGACTACAAACCTGTTTACCTTTCCTCAATCTTAGCATCCTTATGTTTGAACGACTACATTATGTGCATATCTACCAGTGCCTTCAATGCTCCAATGCTTTTCGTAAGCCACCCACCCTACACACCCAGAACACCCTCCTCTCCCCACCTCCCCAACACCGACCATTTAACCCCCTAAAAAAAAAAAATCCTCTCCAGTTAACTCTCCTTCTAATTCTCTGCATTCCCTTCATATTTTAATATAATTAGCATTTGACTAGATCAATTCCTAACCACTCCCAACTGTCCATACAGTCTTTCCAGGTCATTCTAAGTAAGCACTGAGCGTAGTCTCTCCAGAGCCTGCATAAGGATATTCAATATACACACCCTGGTTTCTAATAAGCAGCGAAAACAGCGATGAAACATTATTCTTCGCAGACAAAAATACTAGAGTGTGTGTGTGCGTGTGTGCGCTGCTGCTGCTGCTGCTGCTGCTGTGTCAGTAACAAAGTCAGGAAAATTCGGAACAGGGAAACCGAGAATGAAGTGATGCAGTCGAAATAAAACCACCATCACAAAACAAAAAAAAAAAAAAAAAAACAACGCTGCAAAGCAGAACGGTAACAGCAACAATCCCTGAATCACTGTGGAGCTTTCAGTAAGATTCTGGAGAGGAGACACCCCGACATCACCCTTTAAAAGGCCTTTTAAAGATTACCTTCCAAAGATTACTGCCAGGGACATGTCCACTAACCATCAATTCCGGCCAAGCGGTCTGAGGAATAAAACAGACAATCTTTCTGCACAGAGACCCACTAATACCACCTAAAGCCGAGGAAGGGAGAGAGGGGTTTAGGGTTTAGCCTTCCCACAAGGAGCGGAGGGATGGGCCCACAGGTGAAAAACGGAGGAGCGCGCAGAGTAGGCAGAGTGAGGAGGAAGACTCCTCCCCTCCTCTGGGGGCGAGGGCTCGGCCCACAGCCCCGGAGACGACCCCACCCGCAGACCCTCTCTCACAGCTACGGGCCGGGAGCTTCCTCGAGGCCGTGCGTCCTCCGCCGCCGTCCCCGCACTCACGCCCCCACTCGCGGGGCCAGCGCCCCTGGAGCGCGGCTAATCCCAACCCCGCCTGCCCTCTCCGGACCAAGGGGTCAGCGGAGAACGCCTTCCCCGAGGCCTTCTCCCGGACCCAGTCAGCAGAGACCTCCGCAGAAGTGGAAAGACCCCAGAAGCTGGAAGAAGAAGAAGCCTCACAATCCCGTTACCTGGTAGGAGCCCTGGAAACGGAAACGGCGGCTGCAGCCGCGGCCCTTTTCCCCCACAGCATTCGCCTCAGCGCCGCTGACATTGAGACCGCCGCCATCTTGCTGCAGGCTAACGCCAGGACGGGTCTCCGGAAGGGACAAACTTCCTTCGATCTCGAGCCTCTGCAACTGCCGCGTCCTAGGGTGTCCTTTTTTTTTTTTTTTTTTTTTTTTGTCTACTTCATTTCTGTTGGGCGCTTCGTGAAATACTGCAGTTTAGAACTGAGGTGAAAGGTTTGATTGAAAGAAATAAGAAGGCAAAAGGATGGGAGAAAATGCAGTAGTGCATTGAGTGTAAATACCACTTCCATAGAGTGGAATCCTTGTTTGTTGTTAGGACTGGTTATTTGATGAAAAGACACAGACCCCTCCCACCCCCAGCACACACACACCCAAAAAACTGGAAAATTTAAACACCTGCAACTCATAATTTTTTCAAAGGACTGAGCATAGAGGGCTCTCCGGGTTCTTGAGAACCTAAAGTAGCCCTTTTCCAAAGTGTTGCCAGATTCAGTATGTAAGCCCTCAGGAAAGGACTGTATTCAGTTTGATGTTCTCTAGTTGTAAAGATCGTATTTTCCACTTTGGACATATGGCCTGGCAAAGGGTTATTTTTTTTGACGTGTGGGTGTATATGAAAAACGAATGGAACACAATATTTGATATCCTTGTCTTCCCAGTAAATTCTGAATTCGCTATCATCATCTAAACACACCAAGAATATTATTAATGCTTCATGCATATAATGCAAAAATGATCTTCTGAGACCGGTGTTGGAAACATCTTTGAATTGTAGGCTACTGACCTTAAAAACAATGATTAACAGAGTTATTTTTTTTTAATTCTACTTTTTTTTCTTTTTTCTTTATTTATTTATGTTAGTCACACAGAGAGAGAGAGAGAATGAGGCAGAGACACAGGCAGAGGGAGAAGCAGGCTCCATGCACCGGGAGCCCGACATGGGATTCGATCCCAGGTGTCCAGGATCACGCCCTGGGCCAAAGGCAGGCACCAAACCACTGCGCCACCCAGGGATCCCCAGAGTTCTTTAAAATACAAAAGTTAGGGGATCCCTGGGTGGCTCAGTGGTTTAGCACATGCCTTTGGCCCAGGGCGTGATCCTGGAGTCCCAGGGATCTAAGTCCCACATCAGGCTTCCTGCATGGGGCCTGCTTCTCCCTCTGCCTGTGTCTCTGCCTCTTTCTCTCTGTGTGTGTGAATAAATAAATAAAATCTTTACCAAAAACAAATAAATAAATAAAAATAAATAAATAAAATACAAAAGTTAGTTTTATGGAGTTTGTTTTTAAAGAGATTTTTTTAAAAAAAGAGAATGCTTCTGCTTTTATTTATTTATCTATTATTTATTGCTTTTAAAATTAAGCACTTGAAAACATAACCTTTATTAAAAGAATAGGATTAGCAGGAGGCTGGAGAATAACTTGGTTCTGCATTATGGCCAGTTAAAAGAAAATGCAATACATATGGAAAGAGGGGAAAGAAAGAGATTCAGCACCCTAATACCTAGCACCTAGCTCTAAAGAGAAAACCATGTCCAGGGAAAGAGGAAATGCACAAAAAGATGAAAGAAGGCAAGGGAGAGATGATGTCTCAGAGGGAGTTTTCTTTTAAAGTTTTTATCTTGAAATAATTAGAGATTTCACAGGAAGTTACCAAAATAGTACAGAAAAGTTTTGTGTACTTGTCACCCAGTTCCTTCCATTGATTACATCTTATGTAATTATAGTACATATTAAAGCCAGGAAACTGACATTGATATAAATGTTTGGATAGTCCTATTATCATTCTATCACATGTGGCAATTCATGAAAACACTACCACAGTCAAGGTACGGAACTATTTCATCACCACAAAGATCTCCAGGGGCTACCTTTTTATAGTAACATACAGGGGACTAAGTCTTGGCCACCATTACAGTTGACTCTTAAACAATGCAGGGATTCAGGAGACCTGCATAGTCAAAAATCCGTACAATTTTTGACTCCCCAAAACATAACTGCTAATAGCCTACTATTGACTAGAAGCCTTGACAATAACACAGTCAATTAACACGTATTTTGTGTGTTATATGTATTTTATACTGTATTTTTATAATAAAGTAAACTGGAAAAAAAGAAAATGTTATTAAGAATTCCTTGTGAGGGGATCCCTGGGTGGCGCACCGGTTTGGCGCCTGCCTTTGGCCCAGGGCGCGATCCTGGAGACTCAGGATCGAATCCCACGTCGGGCTCCCAGTGCATGGAGCCTGCTTCTCCCTCTGCCTGTGTCTCTGCCTCTCTCTCTGTGTGTGTGACTATCATAAATAAAATAAAAATTTTTTAAAAATTAAAAAAAAAAAAAAGAATTCCTTGTGAGGGATGCCTGAGTGGTTCAGTTGGTTAAGCGTCTGACATAGGCTAGGTCAGGATCTCAGGGTCCGGGGATCCAGCCCAGCCTTGGGCTCCCTGCTCAGCAAGGAGTCCACTCCTCCCTCTTCCTCTGCCCCCACCCTAGCACTAGGACTGGAGTGCATATGTGCTCTCTCTCTCCCTCTTTTAAATAAATTAAATCTTTAAAAATATTTGTGAGTTCCAGCCCTATGGTCGGTATAGAATATACTTTAAAAAAAGAAAGTTTCTGTTAAAAAAGAAAGAGAGAGGAAAGAAAGAAAGAAAGAAGAAAGAAAGAAAGAAAGAAAGAAAGAAAGAAAGAAAGAAAGAAAGAAAGAAAGAGGGATCCCTGGGTGGCGCAGTGGTTTGGCACCTGCCTTTGGCCCAGGGCGCGATCCTGGAGACCCGGGACCGAATCTCACGTTGGGCTCCCAGTGCATGGAGCCTGCTTCTCCCTCTGTCTGTGTCTCTGCCTCTCTCTCTCTCTCTCTGTGTGTGACTATCATAAATAAATAAAAATTAAAAAAAAAAGAAAGAAAGAAAGAAAGAGAAAAGAAAGAAAAAGAAAAAATCATAAGAGAAAATATATGTATAGTACTATACTATATTTACTGAAAAAAAAAAAAATCCGTGTATAAGTGGACCTGCATAGTTCAAACCCATGTTGTTCAAGATTCAACGATGTTGTTTCCATTCGTGTAATTTTGACATTTCAAGAATGTTATATAAATTGACTCATGCATTGTATGACTTTTTGAGATTAGCTTCTTACACTCAGCATAATGTCCTTGAAAACCATTCAAGTTAATGCATGTATCAACAGTGCATTCCTTTTTATTGCCGAGTAGCATTCCTGGTGTATTAGGATCCTCCAGAAAAACAAAACCAATAAGATATATGTATGTACAAACTTATTTTTTAACTATTCACCTATTACAAAATATTTTGGTTGTTTCCTGGTTTCGGCTATTACAAATAAAACTGTTGGGAACACTCGTGGCTTTTTGTGTAGACATAAATTTTAATTTCTCTGGGATAAATATCCAAAAGCACAATGCTGGGTCATGTGACACATGTATGTTTGTTTTTTTTGTTGTTGTTTTTTTGTTTTTGTTTTTGTTTTTAGAAACTGCTTAGGGGAAACTGGATGGCCCAGTAGTTGAGCATCTTGCCTTCCTTGCAGTTTGTTATCCTGGGATCTGGGGATAGAGTCCTGCATCAGGCTCCCCGCCCCCCCAGCATGAAGACTGTTTCTCCGTCTGCCTATGTCCCTGCCTCTCATGAATAAACAAATAAAATATTTAAAAAAAAAAGAAAGAAAGAAACTGCTTAACTATTTTTCAAAGTAGCTATACCATTTTACATTCCTATCAGCAATATATGAGATACATTTTCTCCTTTTCCTCATCAGCATTTGATATTTTGCTGTTCTTTATTTTAGCTCATCAACATTAATAATAGGTGTGTCATGGTATCTCATCATGACCTTAATTTACATTCCCCTAATGGCTCATATTATCAAATGTCTTTTCATGTGCTTATTTGCCATCTGTATATTCTATGCAGTTAAATATTTCATTCTTTTGCTCATTTTCTAATTCCATTATTTGTTTTTTACTGTTAGAATTTGAGAGGTCTTTATATATTCCAGATATGAGTCCTTTATCAGATATGTGGTTTGCAAATATTTTCTACTATTCCTTAGTTTGTCTTTTCATCCTCTTAACAGTCTTTTGTTCAGTAAATATATTAAATTCCGATGAAATCTAGATTGGTCATTTTTATTTTTTTTATTTTTTAAGATGTTATTTATTCAATTGAGAGAGCATATGTGTGTGTGCTTGGGGGGGGCGGTACAGGCAGAGAGATAGAGGGAGCAGACTCCGTGCTGAGCAGGGAGCCTGATGCGGACCCCATCCTGGTGCTCCAGGATCATGACCTGAGCCGAAGGCAGATGCTCAACCAACTGAGCCACCTAGACACTCCTAGATGGGTCATTTTTAAATTCATGGTTTGTACTTTTAGTGTCATGTCCAAGTACTGGTCACCAACCCTATGTCCTAAGCATTTTCTCCTATGTTTTCTTCTAAAACTTTTTTAGTTTTACCTTTTACAGTTAAGTCTATCATCTTTTTAAAGTTATGTCTTTAGTTAATAAAGTGTGAGGTTTAGGACGAGGTTGAATTTTTTACCTATAGATATCCAGTTGCTCCAGCACTCTTTTTAAAAAGACTTTCTTCCATTGAATTGCTTTTGTACCTTTATCAAAAAATCAATTTGGCCATAGTATTTCTGGGTTCTCTATTTCAGGGGGAATTTTAAGCCCTTGGATGGTATTAATGTTGGGTTAAATTTTAATAGAGGTGCCTTCTTTATTAAGGGACTTATGAGGGACACCTGGGTGGCTCAGCGGTTGAGTGTCTGCCTTTGGCTCAGGGCGTGATCCACAGTCTCAGGATCGAGTCCCACATCAGGCTCCCTGCCTGGAGCCTGCTTCTCCCTCTGCCTACATCTCTGCCTTTCTCTCTCTGGGTCTTTCATGAATAAATAAATAAAATCTTTAAAAAAAAAAAAAAGCAACTTATGATCTGTCCCAGTGTTCATCAGGGCAACTTACTGTAGCCTTGTTCCTAGCCCCATTGACTAAAACTCAACCTCTCCACCTACCACCTATTCCAGTCCCTTCCTTT